TCTTCGGTAAGTAGACAGGTCGAGGATTTCGAGTAACTACTCACTACTAGTGAGAAGTGGCGGTTAGGCGGCCCAGTCCTGCAATAGTAGATTCCACCCTTATGATGCAAAATACGTGCCGAAGCATGTAGCGCTGCACGTCCACCTATTCGGTAGCGCTTGCATAGCAGTTGCATCCGAAACAACACAGCTACGTCGCCCGAGCACTCGAGATACGACATGGAATCCCAAGGTTCGGAGAGTAATTCGTGATCATTTCGCTCAAGGTTGAAGAGAAATAAGCGAGTAGCTCTGATACTCTACTTATTGTTGTGACGTCAGGTTTCCTTGTAGACCCTTACACGGCCACGGGAGTCGAGATTACAGCACGGATAGTAAGATACAAATAACTTGTGGAGAAGAGCAATGCAAGCTGGACTGTAGTGTCCAAAGTTTACATGAACTGCTTTGGCAAAGTGTGAATAGTCGACTAAGGTCAGGCGCCGTAATATAGAGATTAAGTTGCTATCAGAGTGCTGATCAACTCATCGGACCCGATGGTATTTAGCAAAAGTTAGGAAGTAGCGCCTCGGAATAACGATTGACCAGGTCAAGCATATGAAGCGAGATTCCAGTTTACCGTTTACTCGTTCAGAAAACATTTAATCAAGCGACCCACAATACAATGCTAGCAAATCAAGCATAACTCAGCACGAGTGCCGTTTCGAACCAGGTGTACCGCGCCAGGTATATTTCGACAAATCTGTAAAGAGGAGTGGTGACTATAAGTATCACGGATGAATGTAGGCTAAAAGACAGTAATTGTCATAGTGTCTTGAAGTGACATGACAATGAGTCAGTGATACCGAGCTCAAACGTCGGCAGAAAAGGTAAGTTACAATATTAAAATAGCCAAAGTACTTATTACGCAGAGAAAAAAAGCAGCTTCCGTGTGCAGTGCGCATCGAGCAGTAGAAAGATAGCAAGTGGGGTTTACTAACATCGGCTAATACGGAATTCCAGTCGGTAAGTGCTGAAGCGAGTTAAGTTACATAAAAAATGAACGGGCCAGTGCGAATGCAGTTTGAATGGAAGGAAAATACTGTATAAGGGCAAATACGCAGTGTATCAACATACCATCTGCGGGTCATTCAAAGATATACTTTTCCATTTTCGTAGAAATAATGAGCTGAGGCGAGGAGACATCTGTCCAACTGGGGTTCAAGCAAGCCTTGTCCAGTGCACCGTGTTCACTTAAGCCTCCGGTGTAATCAACAGATAAACACATTTTGCTGTCATATCATCGAATCAACCCTGTCTCGGCGTTCCGAATGCTACTACATCACGCGAATTCGAGTTTCGAGGCAGTGGTGTTAAGACCGGCCATACGGATGCGGAAAACAAAATTTTCGTTCATCGCCGGTTGCTGTGGTCGCAAGGTCATCGCCGCCGGTCAACCTGCTACATGTGACTGGTCAGGCAACGCCCTTCGATTTTTATATAGGCCATTTCTTGTGATCATAGTGTTACTGATGAGATGATACAAAATGCGCGCATCTACTTAGGGTTCGTTCTCTAACCGTTGTTCGAAGTACTGGACGGTTTTAAGGAACACGATATTTAAGTAATGCGAATAATTAGGTGCCCTCATAAGGCACTAAACGACCACATTTGCTTGACCATAGGCTGTTCGTCGAAGATCCAGTGGCGGCAATGCACAATTGTCAGACTTTGCTGGAGAATACGGAACCTGGGGATATTCTGAGACCGGGTGATATATATGCTGCGATGATCGGGGAATTCGTGTCCAAGGGTAAATACCAAGCAGTAAGTCTTATCATTTTTGTATTGAAAAATATGCACTACACCGCGTATGTTTTCAGGATACGCTTTAAACTATTGTATCCTTTTTCTTACAGGCCCTCGCGTGCATGGATGAAATGCGAGAACGATTACAAGCCAGCAATCAATCGGTGACGCGATACATCGATCGGCGAACATTGGAGCTTATATATCAAGCTGTGAATATGCCAATGAGACCAGCTGACTCAATGAAGCTGATCACTAGTGCAGGCGACAAAGCGAGCATGGATCCAGCAGACTCCTTATTGTTTGAAGATCCCATCATCGAAGCAAGCATAAGTGAGATCAGTGATGAGGACTGAACATGAATACTGGATCAAGCAGCCTAACCCCCACTCAGAGAGAATGCAGTTTATAAAAATGGCTTAAGTACAGCATAACTAAGACCTACAAAACAATCCAATGTGTAAAAGCCAGTAGAGAGAAGAAAACGTGGATTTTAGCAAGATTAAATGAATGAAATGTTACAATACTATGACTGTGCAGTGGCGCCTTCCTTCTTCTGTCGTTTCCTCTCCGCCTCTTCTTCGCGCTCCCTCTCAATCGCTTGTACATATTTCTCGATGTCAGCTTGCTCCATCAACTACAAATAAAACAAAAAAAGATTGCAGTGATCGACAATCAAGCTCAACGGGAAGATGAATGGTCAGTGAGGAACAGTATGAGAATGTTGTTCCGAACGCAAGCAGTGCATTTTTACAAGCAAGGTTCTGCATGAGGTGTGAAAAACTAATGACCTGTGAATCATAGATAACATTGCTTTGGGTAACTAGTAAACGAAGCAACAAATAACAACATGGATGAGGAAAAGCTCGAAGAATCGTTCCGATGACCAGGTGCCAGACTGAAAACAAATTAATACAGGGTGCGCTTGCTGATTCTCTTCATATCCCCCATAGGTTTGAATATATTTCACCTGTAGCTTATCGACGATATGGGACTGAAGGCGAAACAGAATACACCTCAAACAAAAGCAGAATACACCGACGATAGTCCATCATGTTATGCTGTGTAAATAGCAAAGTGAGTAGAGCGTTGAGCGAAATTGTGTCAATTTCAAGAGTTTCACGCAGTGATGTGGTTAAATATAGCAGCCCAGATGATGACAAATTTGGAAGATAATGTAAGACCCAGATAAAATAAAGCAAGATAATCAGAAGAATGTGCTTGCTATTGATCGCGGATAGCGACTTTAAGAAACATTAGTGTCTCCTGGTTGTCACGACAAGACTGGACCTTAATGTGGTGCGGCTGGTTCCTTGCTTCTTTGACCCATTGTGCTATACTGGGTGGTGCCCCCGGGCGTCTTGAGAGCCACTGCTACCAAGTTGGTCAATAGTTAGAGGTCAGACGAACTCAGTCTCCCGGTTCTCCAGATGGGTTTGAAATGGAATGGCGTCGATTTATGTAAAACCCGCTGTCAAGCGGACAGGCTTTTAAGCCAAAGGCTTTAGTTAAGAACCCTCATCGTCCTCCTGTCTAGGTATGGGCGCTCTGACAGTATCTCAGCCCGCCTACAACCATGACTTCAGCCACATCCCGTATCGGCCGTCGCCTACCTTATCAAGGGTCGCCTTATCTGCTGCATACAGCAGGACAGATAAGCGAAAACATGCTACTGCTGGCGCCTCCTTTTTTTCCACCTTTTTCTCTTACTCCCCTCTCAACCCCCACTAGTAACCTTTCTTCTATAATTCCGTTTAACTGACAGTAACCGCAATGCCACTGGAGTCATACCATCTTCAGCTATGCTCCGGCACCACCCAATGGACACTAATCGTCAACAGGTCCTTATAAAACCACGCTGTCCCGTTTCGTTGGCGGCGTCCAACTTTCGCACTCAAGGCAAGTAGGTCAACAGTTTGCACTCGCACGCACGTTAGACACGCTGGGTAGTGAGGTGTGTTGTGTGTCCGAAACTGGGATCAATGACGCTCATCGGGTTGTTAAATTAACTGCACTCGGTTTGTCCTCTCGCTATTGGTTGCAGGCAGTCGGAGACGCTGATGCGGCAACCAATGAGCTGCCTGAAGTAGGCATTGTTCTCAGCTCCAAGGCTAAATGATTGTTGGCTGATTAGATTTCCGTGAACAGTCGTTTGTGCCCAGTCCCTTTGACGACACCAACTAAGGTTGATTCAAGTAGCAATAGACACTGGTTGCGGTTTCCGCTTATGCTCCTACCGATTGCAGCACTCATGCCGCGAAGGACGCTTTCTACCACAAACTGCCACGCTAGTACGCAGTGTTACAAGTTCAGATATCTTAGTTCTTGCAGGGGATATGAATGCGCAAGTAAATCGTCTGAGCTCTTTAGTCTTTGCTAGGTGGTAAAAATGGATATAACAACGAGCGGAAGGATAACGGCGAGCGTCTGTTACAGCTGTGTGTGGAGCACCAGTTGTTTTCTAGTAGTACCGCTTTTAAACACAGTGGACGCCGAAGTGCCAATTGGCGTCTACCTTTAGCTGACCAGCGATGGACCGAAATAGACCACGTTGCCATAAGTTACAGGTGGCGCGGTCCTATTATGGGCTGTCGACCTTTCTGGAGTACTTGCGTCGACTCTGATTCTGCCTTGGTACGTTGGTGCTTTTATAAAAACTTTACCGGGAGGCGTATCAAACGCATACCACGAGTAGCAACTGAGAAGTTATCTCAGTCCTCGGTCAGACAAGCCTATCAAAACGTACTGTGTAGCGAACTTTTGATCTCTTTTCCTAATGACACTGAGCTTCAATGGAATAGGATCTCGGCCGCCATGTAACATGCAAGAGCCCCCGTGTGCGGCACTATCAATCGTCACTGGATATCCGAGAGGTCATCAAACCTAGTGGGATCCAGAAGAAACTTCCCGGCTTGTTCTGAGCACAATGTTAGCAGACGGAAAAAAAGCGCGAACTAAAGCGGAGACTGTGCTGACAAGGAAACCTGATAGACCAGTCGGGCTCTAGAAATGGAGGAGGCAGGAATAATAGGCAATTACCACAAGCTTTTCCAGTTGATCCGTACCACTCGTCCCAGGAAACCAGGAGTCAGTGAGAAAATCAGAGAGAGCGCGGATGCCATTATTCAGATTAAAGAGCGCTGTATGGCTCGTTGGGCGGAGCAGTTTCGAGATCAGTTCAGTTGGCCCCCTGCTTCTGGACCTCTTGCTACTTAGGTGATGCAGGAGGAGCCATAGCCGGTTAGTTTAGAGGCTCCATCGGAGATTAAGGTTCGAAAAGCGATCACAGTCTTCAATAGCTTTCGTGCTGCTGGCACGGATTCCTTCCCACCTGCACTAGTTGAGGATCGTGGTGAAGTCCTCTGCAAAGCACTGATTTCCCTGTTCGTAAAGGTCTGGAAGGTAGAGGACATCTCAGCTAAAAGAAGTGAATCAATTTTAGTGGCGATATTCAAAGATAGTTGCACCGACTGTACTAACTACAGAGGTATTAGCCTAATGACGGTTGTGACAAAATGTATGGCTTCAATTCTCGCTTTTCGCTTTACTGCGGAGTGAAAATCACGGAATACGGACGATCAGGCAGGCTTCCGCGCTGGATGAGGCTGTGTAGACCATATATTCATTCCGTTGCAAGCGCTAGAGCAGCGCTACATGTTCCAGAGGCCGACAATAGCTGTGTTCCTCAACTTCAAGAGTGCGGTCGACTCAGTCGACCGATACATTTTGTTCAAAATACTTGTGCGGAAAGGTGTTCACATGAATTATGTGAACATTTTGCGTGCGTCAGGGTCCACGGTGATTTGTCGAATGCTTTTCCTACTACAAGTGGCGTTCGTCTGCATTGTCCAATTTAACCATTTTTGTTCAATTTCGTCGTAGACTCCATCATAGAGCGTTTCCTTGCGGAGTCTCGCGATACATATGTTAAGATGTTACCTGGTGAAAGGCCAGTTGATCTTGATTACGAGGACCACATTTTCCTGTGTTTACTGATGTTCGGGTGGCGCAACCAACCCTGGATACCCACTCTAAAGTGGTGCGATTATTTGGTATGTGCTTCGCATCTTTGAAGTGCAAAGTGCTGTTACAGAGGCAACAGAAACTTGATGACCCCTTAACCTTTGATGGCGGGGAACTCGAGGCAGTTGATCAATTCACCTAACTTGGCAGCTGTATCAGCGAAGATGAACACATTGCAACTGAAGTCAGATCACGCATTGCAAAAGCGCGAACTGCTTTCTTGAATCTATGACATCTTTGGCGACGGAAAGGGGTTTCCCACCGTGTAAAATGGCCGCCATACTCTAAGGGAGTGAGACTTGGCCCCTTCGATCTGAGGATCTGCTGCATCTTCAAGTCTTTGACCATCGTTGTCTGCGAAGTATTGCTGGTGTCGGTTAGCACCAGCGTGTCAGCAATGATACCCAAGCTAGTTCCTCAGAACAGCAGATAGCACTTAAGAAGTTGCATTGGCTTGGGCACGTACTACGTATCCCCGGTCATCGCTTACCTAGGAGGACCTTGTTTAGTCTGCCAGGTGTAGGGTGGGGCAAGGCTCGAAGTGGACAAACGTTGACTTGGCAGTGGGAAATGAAGTAACTGATAACCAAATTGGGTGCCGTCGGTCCGTTTCACCTTCCGGGCTGTAGTCCAGGTGATCCACCTTGTGCTTGGCTCGAGACTTTACAGGACATGGCGCATCTGCTGTCGTCTAGTATTCGGACTGCATGTTTAAAGTGTGTTTGATGCCGTGTTATCTGCGGGGTAATGGCTGATTATGACGCGGCGTAGTGAAAGCCGCAAAGAAGCTGTCTCGCCGATGCCGCCTTATCTTTGCACGGTAGCCAGCTGTTTGTGATGGTATGTTGTTGACAAGGTGTAGGCGCCTTGACCCTGAGTGTTTGTTTAGGGCATTACGGTTTTACGGCAAGTACCCTTCTCTCCTTCTTATTGTTCTTCGTTCCGTAGGGCACCGTGGTTGTACGGTAGTGAAGCATAAGCTCAAGTGGCTGATGCACGCTGTTGATGGTGATGATGATGAGCATTCTCTGGGCTCCCAATCCGAGTCAGCCGTACTGTGCAGATGTGGAGAGAGATCAGGCCATACGCTGGCCACTCTGCTGTTGCTAGTAAACAACAAAGTTGAGTGCAGAGAGGACAGTGAGCTAACCACTGGGGAAGCTTGCAAAACACACGCCAAGATCACGGAAAAATGTGGGGATATTATGCGGCTTCAAAGTCAGTTGAGCCAGCTTTACGACTTCCGGCGACAAAGGCCATCAGCACTAATGCAACGCTGTCATCGTGCATTCTCGGTGTGCAGAAAAACAATCTAAACATCAACTGTGCGAACGGGCCATGTCCCGCAGTTACAGAGCAGGACTGATTATGTCGCAATATCGAAAACGCTTAATAGGGAAGGCGTAGATAACAGGGGATGTAAGAATTGTGACAGGAGTTCTTATTGCAAAGCAGCAAGAGAGCTCTCAAGGCAAATGAACTTACGAACTGTTTTCAACCTGCAGTTTGGGAGTATAAGAAGCTTCTAACCCGTCCCGCAAAAAAACCCGGTACCTTTTGGAGAAGATGACCGTTCCTCGTTGTGTAATCTAATCGGCGCATGATATTTCAAGGAGAATGGCCCGTGCGCAATCACAGGTT